AAAAAAAAAAAAAAAAATGTTCCAAAAGATCATCCTTCACATAGATAAATAATAATCTATTAATTTATGTAGGTAATCTCTGCAAATACGCCGGACCTAAAATTTATCGAAAAAGCTGCCTACTTTCAAAAAAAAAAGCTACATTCCGAAATAGCATATTCTCTTAGCTATCTTCAGCACACTTTTTAAGTTCTTATTTCTCCTCCACAACATATTTTCCGAGAATATACATACACATACCTATATGTATGCTGGCTTTATATTGAATTGCGTGCATTAATAGTGAACCACAAAGCATTTTAAGCTCGTGCCACTTTGACTGCAATTTATTTGGATTTTTTTTTTTGTAGGCAGTCAGGATAAAGGAATATAGGTACTACAACATACCCTACACAAGTTTGTGTATATGAGACAATTTAAAGCGAAAAATGCCCAACATGTGCTTACCAAGGTAACTAAAAAAAAATATAAAATATATAAATTTCCAAATCAATGCAGTTACATTTAGTTTACAAAAACATAGATTCTTATGTCCTAGAGAGCTGCTTAAACGATTTTACTTTGCCTTTGTACTATTGCACAGTGTTGAATGTATGAGCTCTTCTCAACGGTCTGGCAGCTACCGTGGGAATTGTGGTAGATTCCAAAATAATGTGGTAGATTTACTTATGATGTTTTCGTTTCTACCAAAAAATTTTGCCTTTAAAATTCGATTCTAAAAATAAAGACGAACGGTGAGAAAATTTTGTGTTCGTTTCCTAAAATGTCGCAATCTATTAAAGCAGAAAAGGCAGACAGGTTGCTTAGAAAATTAGATCGTTGCTTAAAACCAAAATATTAAAAATGTAGCAAATACCTGGCGTACTCCACTGCACCTTAAAAGTATTTTTTGTGTCGTTTCAAACCCGTATTTTAATATTTTGACACCAGGGTATACACCATTGAAAATCGAAATGACCTATCTAAGGCCCATCACACAACCGAGGGTTAAAAGCGCCTACCTATTAATTAATTTCAAATTTATGTAATATACGTTTGTATTTTCTTTTTTCGAATTCCGTTAAATTAACTCTTTTTATTTAAAGGCAGATTACAACTCTTTTAAGTAAATACGTGGAGTATTTGAGCACTTTGAGTAAGTGATGTGAAGTAAGCAAATATAATCAAATGTTTTGAACACCTTTTTAAAGCCATTTATACAGCCCTCTAATATGTGCGTATATACTACACGTATGGATGGAGTAAAGCTTAAAATGACAGGTATTAAAAATATATGTATATTAGGGTGGGTCAATTAGTAGGTCAATTAAAAAAGTTGATTCATATCCTTGCGATTCTGGTACTATGGACCATAACAAACATTTTCGCCCAAGGAACCATACCTCTAAAATCATTTTCGAGCCTGCCAAAATTTTTTG